CTCTGCTTTTCATATTATATGCATTCCTCAAATATTTGTTGTGTCATAGTTGTTTGTTCATATTTAAGACTGTTACACTAAAAAGACAATTGGAAGCCCTACGCCTATGGTAGTCAATACTGTCTCTGGGTTATTTTGTTGGGAGAACCTCTGCTATAAGTATCTTTAGGTCTTTTCTCTTAGGCTGGTCAGATTCCTGAAAGAAAAATCTGCTTGGGGGGTAATAAATCTGGCCGCCAGTGTTTTGGTAGCCACATGAGGAAAAAAAGCCAGAGGTGTTGTAATTTAGTACGTAAACTGGTTTTCATATTCTTGTTTTCAGTACAGTACTCTCCCTCAACTTGTGGCTAGCAGCTCCAGGCCAGAGATCCCTTGTTTTAACCCTGAGTCTTCTGTCACAGAGAAGGGATAGGCTGCCTAGCTCTGTGGAGGGCAGAAGAGACCTCAGGGATCTATAACACTTTAAACATTTAACTAGTCCTCCTGCTATTAGCCCCACTTCACCACCACTTCCAGACCATTCTGGTGCCACCATGTCTTGAGTCGTAGGGGCTATTTGTTGGCTTTACGCCACCAGGTTAGGGTTCAGATTTTGGGATTTTAGGGTTCAGACTTGTCTATTTGCTTCCATTTGCTTTCTGTTTTATTGTTATCTCTTCTTGGGAACTCTTTACCTTGTGGATTTTTGTCTCTTTAAAATCACTTAAATTTAAATGTCAGGCTTACCATTGACTAGAGTTGCTTGATAATGAGAAAGTTAATCTCTCTTTTCACATCTGTAAGGGCCAATAGTAACAGTTCCTACCTTGTAGAATTATTACGACAATTGAGTTAGTTCATTTATATAGAGCTCTTAGAAGAGTGCCTGGATTATAGTTAAGTGCTGTGTTAGCTGCTGACATTATTATTTGGCAGAGGAAATGAGGGTACATGGAATGTTCAGTCAGTCCTGTATGTTTACCAGAAGTCTATCCTCCTAGTTTAGCTTGACAGGTCCCTTATATCCTAACTGCCTGACTTACCCACACAACTTCTCAGGAACACATCTATCATATTTATTATTTCTATTTTACTTCATGAAGGAATACTTACCAAAGTAGAACAATTATATCATCAAATGTGGGAAGGATCTAAAGCTTCTCTAATTGTTTTAAATGGGTTCAAGCATCCAGAACCATTTATTCATTTAATAAACATTTTCCAAGAATTCATCAAGGCACTATGTTAAGTTCTAGAATATCCTCAAGGAGCTTAGAGTTGACCAGGGATAGGAAAAGTAAGTCAATATGCAATTATAAAATAGTGTGTTAAGTCATAGGAAAAAGTAGCAGGTATAACATGCTGGCTCAAAAAAAGTTTTCCAATGTTAAGTGACTTCGACTAAGTAGCAGTTAACCTGGTGTGGTGGAGGTGGGGTACAGCCATGGGATTTCAGAAAGAGATGTATGTGTTAAGGCACAGATATAAAAGAGAGCAAATAGTTTAGTATGGCTGGCGCATAGAACATGCAGGGAAGGAGTAAGATTAATGGACTAAAGGCAGGGGTCTTGTCTCAAGAGGTCATATATACTGCGTTCTAGGAGGTTTGGACTTCATCCTGAAGACAATGGTGAGCCAAAGGGGGTTTTCTGCAGATTTGCAGTTTGGAAAAAGAGTCTTCACTTTAGTGTTGAGATTGGATTTGAGAGATGATGGATTAAGCAAAGCTAATCAGATTTCTTTACATCAGACTCTTGAGAGCCTTTGTTGGTATGTGCTGTGAATTCGTGAGAGAAATATATAGCATAAAGCACCTCTTGAACTTATCTGAGGTAACAACATGGACTCTATTTTATTGCATGCCATCTATTGACAGCTCTTGAGACAGCAGGGTTCACAGACTAAAGTCTGGGAAATGCTGCCCGGGGGAGAGAATGTGGAAAAGCATAATAGACACTCACTATTTGGTGCCTAATTAACAGTCACTCTGCTCTTCTTCTTGATGGCACAACTTGATTTCATCTGAGGTATTCCTCTCCCCAGCTCTAGCAGTAAGTCCTGACTGGTCCAAACTGGTCTTGGTAGTCCCAGTCCCCTTGGCCATGGCTGCTGTAGGCATCTGCATACGATGCAAATCTAGCCAATGAAAGGAAAGGGCAAATGTGCTGGAGAAATCTGAGAAAAGACTTATAGACACAGGCAAAGATAGTGCCTGCATATGGCCACCTCTGAAGATAATGACCATGAGGCAGGATAAAGCCAGTAAATGAGACAGAGCAAAAAGATGGAAAGAACCAGGTCCCTGATGAAATCTTTAAACCTACGAATTAACTTTAGGGCTACCCCACCTTGCATCTTCTTGTTATTCCACATTACGTAAGTCATGTTAAGTTGCTTTTTTGTTACTGATAGCTGAAGGCCTCGTAACAGACATAGAGGCTACCTTTAAATATTCAAGAGTTGTTATGAGAAGAATAACTACATATTCAGTGTAGTTTTCATGGTTAGAAATAGGACTCATAGGTGAATAGGAAGACAGATTTCAGCTAGTTCATAAGGAGGAATTGTCTAAAATGGAATGAGTTGACTGGTGAGATAAGAAGTTCCCCAACATAAGAAATGTTTGGGCAGAGACAGATTATCCCTAGAAATATTCAATCACAGAAATGTTATGTGCCTAGGATAAAAGAATACATCTGTGAGGTGAGCGACTAAACATTATGACCTATAATGTCTGATCCTATTCTATAAATCTGTTTAAAATGAAGATGCCTAAATCACAGAATAAAATTTATACTTTTTAATTTATAATAAACCTTAGGGGTTTAGTAAGAATTTATGGATAAAGACACTGAATTTTGCAGAATGTGATACAACTGCACTGTAATGGTGTGTTGAAGGGAAGGAAACGAAGTAAATTTAAAGAGGTTAGTTAGACAACATGATGAGCTTATTAGTGTCAGAGATGGGAATTCAGGTCTGCTAACTGGCAGATCAAACATAATTCATCTGTAGAGATCTAGGTCATATTGCAATGCAAACATCTCTTAAGAAATAGAGAAATCCTAATTAGTGGGCAAAATTCAGTTATACCCCCGCAGAAGCACAAATTGGCTCTGCTATTTATTTTATAACAACACGTAAATATTTTAATCTAGTGATTCAATACTTACCTTTCATCTTCTTCAACTCCAAAGAAATTGTGTGAATGTTTTTAATTATGGCTTCCACATTTAGCTTATGATCCTTAACATTATTCTTAAGCATCTGATTTTAAAAGAGAAACAAAAACAATGTATAAATGAGAAGTATTTATGTGTAATTTAAAATTTCTTAAATTTTAAGTATTTATAAAAGAAAATGTTATTTCAGAAGTGAAATAATTGTTGAAATAAGACTTTATAAATACATAGTTAGAATTCTAACATAGGAAAGCAACAATTTGTTATAGTTTTCCAACTAAAACTTAAGCCCCAACTAGAATTCTTAGGATGAGGTTTCTTTTTAAATTGAACCACATCCACAAGATGGAGCTTGCAATGGAAATAAAGAGGTCCCCTTTTCAGAAAGCCTCAGCACTTACAAACTACCTTACAGTTTAGCAATCCTGTAAAGTCTTCTCTAATTTTATGTAAGTCAGTGTCTACTTCTAATTTATTCTTTTTTTTTCTTTTTTTATTTCTTCATATTATGGGAGTACAAATGTTTAGGTTACATTGCCCTTGCCTCCCCCCGCCAGTCAGAGCTTCAAGCGTGTCCATCCCCCAGATGGTGCGCATCGCACTCATTATGTATGTATATATCCATCCCCTTCTCCCCCCTCCCATCTGCCCAACATCCGATAAATGTTATTCCTATATGTGCACTTAGGTGTTGATCAGTGAAACCAATTTGCTGGTGAGTAGATGTGGTGCTTATTTTTCCATTCTTGGGATACTTCACTTAATAGAATGGGTTCCAACTCTATACTGGATAATTTAAGAGGTGTTATATCACCATTGTTTGTTGTAGCTGAATAATACTCCATGCTATACATATACCACATTTTATTAATCCACTCATGTATTGATGGGCACTTGGGTTGTTTCCACATCTTTGCAATTGTGAATTGTGCCGCTATACACATTTGAGTGCAGATGTCTTTTTTATAGAATGTCTTTTGTTCTTTTGGGTAGATGCCCAGTAATGGGATTGCTGGATCAAATGGTAGATCTACTT